TAAACTGGCATCATGCAATAACCAATAATAATAATTTTTTAATCTTAAATTAAAAAAAAAATATATCAAAAATGACTGATTCTAAATTAATCATCAACATTATTACCTCCACATTGCCCATAAGGGAAAAAACACATGCTGAAAAATTTTAACAAAAATCCATTTTACATTTTCAACTCCGCACCCTTCAAATTCGGGCCAATGTTCCCAAGCCGAAACTGTTAATACAAAACATCCGATAATGGGCAAATACAAGAAAAATATAGTCAATGAAGCCCACACTGGATTATCCTCCGCGTAGTGTCTGTATGCCACCACGACGTCACACGCAAAATTTATATTATACAGAAGCACAGCGGCAACACTCGGTATTAAGTAGTTTGCATAAATGTTTTGTTTGGTCGTCAATATTTGGCCCAAGGCAGTTGACTTTTTCACACCCGCACTGTCCTCTGTAGTCATCTTGTGATCATTGTGTTGCAATGAAAACGATTTGTCACCTTTATTTCTACATGTACTTTTACATTACCTTTCTACTTCACTAAACTGCATTTTTAGAACAATTATTAATTATTTTTCGCACGGCTGATATATAATGGAAAAGTAAAATCATCGGAGCTTGGGCAAAAAGCTGATAGCTCTTATCTAATCTTGTAAATAGATTTATTTCAATATTTAAACAGTGGTGCTTGGGGGCCACTCTATTAATTTGTTGAGGTAAATTTCTTTCAAATTTTCAGTAGCAAAATGGAACTCAAAAAAAAAAAAGTAAAAAAATTTATTGTCATTCCTTAAATTAAAAAGTAACTGGAGATCATCGTTGATTTCCACTCCCTCTAAAACATATTTGAGAGATTGGGCCCTCCCCCCTTTCCCCATTTTGAGCTCGCATAATTAATTGATGCCCTCCAGAAGAATGTAATCAATAATTTCTTAATTTCATACTATGCTCCTTTACAGATTTACCTGCGAAAATTTAATTTAAAGCCCGCCATAATATAATCTCCAAAAATACATTTTTTTGTGTTTACTCGACTTGTTCTGCCATCTAGAAATGCACCGTGGAACAATCACAATGGATGCAAAACACTAATAATGAAATCTGCAAAATTACAGATTGCTACCTTAAATCGTTATCATTTATCGGCAATAAATGGCACGAGTTTTGAAAGCTCTTTTACTAAAATATAACACATAATTTACTAAAAAAAAAAACATTAAAACTGTATGACTTAATAGTATTTTCCCAAGTTGTTAATTTAAAAGCTTAAGTTTATTTAATTGTTTAATAAAAACATTGTGGGCAAACATTAGAGCAATTTTACTCCAATAAATCTGAAAAATGTTTCTTTTTAATTAGATTGCGTTTTTTAAAAAATATTGTGTTATTGTACTAAAATACGGGATTTGAGCCTATTTCTGACTCGAAATTATCAAACAAACAGATGAGAGAAACAAATTATGTAGAAACAACAAAAAAACAATACATTCATTAAAAATACAAAACCATTTTTATTTACATTCAAATTAGTTTGGACAATTTTAGTGCATTCTTACAAAAATCTTCACATTCATTTTATTTATGGCCACTTAGGGGGTTTTTCTCAACATATATGGAGTTTCTCATCCAGTAACCCACTTACGATTAAATATTGTTTAAACCACGATTCCACAATTAGGCCAATTTTGGCCAAACGTTTCCTTACTACAATTACAAAACAAATTTCTTAACTGGCGGGTTTTAAATCACTTAAATAAATCGAGTGTTTTTCTAATAAATCAACAAGTGGGTCTTGTTTATTAGATTCTGGATCATATTCGGAACCCACCGCCCATAAAGAATCCAAATCATATTTACATCTTGCCTCATTAGAGAAAATATGTAATGCAATATTACCTAGAGTTTCAAATATTTAGGGTTAATTTTACAAACAAGTAGTTCATATGTTACCTAAATCTAAAGCAAGCCATTCATCTGAATCTTTTCCTTCTATTTTTGGTATTAAATCTGTGTCATGCATTTTACGTTTATATAATTTTCGAACGAATTGTGCTATTGCCAACATATGTCGCCTTGATTTGCCAGTGACAATACAAATATACTTCACGAAATTAATTTCTTTGGGTAATTCAACCACAAAAACATCTTCAGCATTGTCTCTCTTCAGAACTTCAATAAGATCCTCAATTTCAAAAACACCAGTTTCGCCTCCTTAAATTAATAATCTCATTATACTAATGTTGAAAAATACAAACCCACTCCAGTTACTCTCAAGATTTAATCCTTTGTATTCATCATACTCCTGTAACTTTTCTTTCTGAATTTGCTCTTCATTTTTTAATTGTTCTTCATCTACATCCAATATTTCTACGGAGTCGTCATCTCGAAAAACTTTGTATTTACTTCCAAGCCCTACCGGTATATTAGAATCTTGGGGGTCGTCAGCACCTCTATTTCGCTGATTGCTAAAATTTCTCAGGTTTACCGTTGTAATTGGCATAAAGTAACAACGTTTTATAATTCTGCCACAAAATTGCAAATAACGACCGGTAAACATACTTCCGCATTCAACTTAACTTCCAAAACATTCAAAAACATGGTAACATTAAAGTAAATCATTGAGGTTAAGTGCATAGCCATTGCATACCATAGATTAAAGAAAAAATATATAAATTTTAAATGATTTTTTGAATTGTGGAATAGCAAATACAAAAATTTTTTAGTATTCTCTTTGTAGAATAATCTCTTTAAGCAATTAATACTTGATAACGGTGAATAAAAACATTTAAATGTTTCGGAAATAGAGTTTATTAATGCATTTGTATTTCACAATTCCGAAAATGTTCTCAACTTTCGAATTTCAAATAATTCGCGCCAGAGTACATCTTGCACCTACACCGCTCCCTTTCGCCAAGTTCACTAACGTTCGAATAATCTCGTTACCAGTTGCATTTTCGTGGTTTTGAATTTACATACAATAATTTCTCGTTTTATCTAATTATCGTGATAATTAGTTACAGTGGATGTATTGAAATTTTATATCAAAGTATATTTTAAACTGGCATCATGCAATAACCAACGATTATTTAATAAAAGAAAGTAATACATGTTGACTATAATATGTATTACTATCTTTTTCGAGTTTAACAGAGTCGTTGATGACGTACTTCCTTCTTGTTCACTTTATCACTTTTCACTGGTGTACTGCATTTTCTACCGTTCGTAGATGTTATGTGCATTTTTGATAAAAAAAATTGGAAAGAGTAATGGTACATACAAAATTTGTATCACAATAGGTTCTGGAATTACGATTTTATCCGTGGTATGTATTTTTATTATTCAGATATCGCATTATTTTTACGATTCTCATTAATTAAATTGTTAAGTAAATGGACGGTGTAAGCGTTTCTCCGCCATGTTTGATAAACTAGCAAAAACCTGAAAACTTGTTAATGCATATCTATCGAGTTTATGAATAAAAAGTTACTCGTTCAGTATAAATAAAATTGATTTGTCGATTGATTTTGTAAAATAATTCAGTTGTATGTAACAAAATGAATGTTTTCGTTCATTAAAATTTTTCTTGATCTATAAAATTATCTTTTACTTTCATTTGTTCTTTCTACAGATGTACTTTGGAATAGACTGTTTCCAGCCTTTACCAATGCCAAATACTGTTTCGTCCAGCTGTTCAACCTACACACAGACAATGCATTTCTTTTTGAAGTCTTTGTTTCCAAGAGGTAAGATGAAAATAAATTTCATTTTTATTAAATTTTACATGTTGAAATCAATATCAATAGATACTTCTGGCAATTGAAACTTCTTCAAAGATTGTATGTGGAATTTTTGGGTTTTGATACTTTATTTTGTTGTTAAATTGCAGATTTATCTTTGGGAAATGTTCTAAGAATCATTTGTAAGGCTTTTATTAAAAATAAAGTTTTGATTAGCAAGAGCAGGAACAAATGTTAACTTCTGCTGTGATGTTCTTTTGTTTTAGAAAATACATATGATAATTTTTTTTTTTGTTTTTATTTTACTTATTTAATAGTAGGTAATAATTTTTTTGTCTATTTCTGCAGATTGACTTTGAATGAGAAGGAGAAAGACAACACTGAAGTTGATTTGGATGTTATGCAGCAACCAGTATCTACAATGGTATTGTGGTTTTTTCTGGACTTTGTATTCTGTTGTTGTCCTCATCTTGCAGCATTATGCAGTTAAGTTTGGGCCGATGAAAGAGAACAACGGGAAATTTTTTTTAAAAGCACTAAACGTGTTACCATTCTTCCTGGGCTTGGCTTGCCCTTCACACTTGTAAAACTTTGGAACATTGCATTCTACAGTTAATTAAGGTGAGAATACATGACATAATTAATATTAATGCTCTTTATTAATCTGTCATGGTGTTTATTTTAACAATTATCTATTATCAATAAAATAAATTGACGTTATCGTGCATCTATAATTATTTTACATTTATCTGCGTTGTGATGTAAAGTGCGTTAATCGTCATTTTATAATTCAGTAATTTTACTTGCTTTTTGATGCAAGTTTTGTTGTATTTTATATGTTATTTATATGAAAGTGTAATTAAGTAGAATTTTCTTGTAGGCGTTTAATGCCTTCTGTAATGAATAGTGTAATTAATGTGTTTTTTTGCCAATTTCTGCAGATTGATCAAGTAAGAAAATTAAAGTTCATGTTGGTTGCATCTAAATAACCAATTTCTACATTGGAGGCATAATGCAGTTAATTTTGGGCTGATGAGATAGAACTGGAAATTTATTTGGAAACCAAACATGTCATTGTTCGTTCATTTGACTTGCTCTTCACACTTGTAAAACTTTGGAACATTGCATTCTACAGTTATTTAAGGTGAGAATATAATATGAATTTATAAAAGAAATGCAAGAACATAAAATTAATTAAAAACAACATATTAAAGGTAACATAAACTACGCTTTACTCTTCTTAGAAAACATNTTGCTTTTTGATGCAAGTTTTGTTGTATTTTATATGTTATTTATATGAAAGTGTAATTAAGTAGAATTTTCTTGTAGGCGTTTAATGCCTTCTGTAATGAATAGTGTAATTAATATGTTTTTTTGCCGATTTCTGCAGATTGATCAACAAGTAAGAAAATTAAAGTTCATGTTGGTTGCACCTAAATAACCAATTTCTACATGGGAGGCATAATGCAGTTAATTTTGGGCTGATCAGATAGAACTGGAAATTTATTTGGAAACCAAACATGTCATTGTTCGTGCATTTGACTTTCTCTTCACACTTGTAAAACTCTGGAACGTTGCATTCTTCATTTATTTAAGGTGAGAATATATGATGTGATTGGTATTAATGTTCTTTATTAATTTGTTTTGGTGTTTATTTTAATATCTACTGTTCTTAGCACAAATTGAGGTTATCGTACATCTATGGTAATTCATTCAGCAGTTATTTATTGTCCTTAGTAAATTGACATTGTTCATTTTTGTTCATAAAATAAATTGAGATTGTGAATCTATGATTGTTTCACATTTATCTATGCTATGATGTAAATTGACAGTTGTTGCCATCTTATAATTCTGTCATTTTATTTGCGTTTTGATGCATGTTTTGTTGTATTTGGTATCTTGTTTATGTGACAGTGTAATTAATTAGTACTTTCTTTTAGGTGTTTAATGCCTTCCGTAATTAATAGTGCAATTAATACGTTTTTTTGTTCATTTCTGCAGATTGTTCAACAAATGGGAAAGAATAAAAGTTCAGTTTGGTCCTACTCAAACAACAAATGTCTACATGGGTATCATCTTTCCTGGATTGTTTTCTTGATTAGCTGTTTACATCTTTGCCTTGCAACATTATGAAGTTAATTTTCTGCGATGGTATTCCTGCCGGATTTGTTTTGCTTTTTACACCTGTAAAGTTTGGAACTTTACAGTGTACAGTTACTTAAGGTGAGAATAGTTGATATATTTCATTTTAATTGCTCTTTATTAATCTGTCATGGTGTTTATTTTAACAATTATCTATTATCAATAAAATCGTCATTTTATAATTCAGTAATTTTACTTGCTTTTTGATGCAAGTTTTGTTGTATTTTATATGTTATTTATATGAAAGTGTAATT